CACACACACACACACACCGCTCACCCACGCGCACTGGGCCTTGCACTTTGAATGCCGTGGGGCTCCTGTCGTCAGACGTGGAGACGCGAGGGTTGCCCCCCCTTGCCCCACCACCTCGTGTGTGTGGAGAAGTTTACCTTACCTTACCTTACCTTTTTGAGGCAACGAAACAAAAAATAGAACCTTAGAACACCACCCCGGCGCAGGCGGTGGCGGTGGCGGGCACGTCACACAAAAAAAATGCGTTTTATCCTGCGAAAGACACTACTCTGTCGACGGAGGGAGGGGCAGGCTGCTCACCCACGTGCACCGGGCCAGTGCTTGCACTTTGAATGCCGTGGGGCTCCTGCCCGTGTCCGGGCGTGGAGATGCGAGGGTCGCCCCCCCTTGCCCCACCACTTTGTGTGTGTGGAGAAATCTACCTTACCTTACCTTACCTTACCACACCCACAAAGAACCCTGCACAAAGATCGCAAGGGCGGGGACCTGTTCCTTTTTACCCATCTCACAGTAGAGAGGTGTCCGTTTTTATTATTTTCCACTACACTTTGTTTATTTATTTATTTACACTACTCTCCCCCTCCCGTCACTTGTCCCCCTTGGCGTGGCGCGCCTCTCCCCCAGCTCTCGGTATCGCGTACTGCACGAGGCTACCGTGGGCCCCGCCTGCGCGCTGGGGGTTCCCTGCCCTGTCGGGAAGCCTAGCTCTTAACCTGGGGTCGCTACCTAATGCGGGGCTCCTGACGTGCAACAGCGGTCCGGCAGGCTGCCCCCAAGGCCCCCTGGGCCCGCTGCGGGTTTGGGAGTTATGCTTAGGCACAGCTTCGGCGATGGCAGCCCCTCTCTGGGGTGTTGCATAGGTGGGGAGTCTCCCCCGCTGGTCTCCTCCTTCCCATTTTCTTTTCTTTTGAGAGCAGACCTCCGGGTCTGTCCTGTATGTGCGTGTCGGGGGTGTGTCAGAAGTGTCGGTGGGGGGCAGCGGAGGGCGGAGGCGCGCAAGGCCGAAGGCTCGACCATTTGTCGGCTCGTCAGGGTTGGAGACTGGGGAGGGAAGTCTGGGCGGTCGGCGAGGGGGTAACAGCCAACAGTGCGTACGGGGTAGCCACCACTTTCCTGCCTCACAACCGTCACAAGCGGGGCGGGGCTGTCCCGGAAAGTGAGAAACGCCGGGCAGCGTGGTGCATGACTTCAACCTCCCATACGTATTTTCGTTCGCTTCTCCCTTGGGCTGTTCCATCTTCCCATCTCCTTCCAGCTCAGGCGAGGGGGGGGGGGGGGGGGTGCGGTGCGGTGCGAGTGTGTGCGTGTCATGTGGCCACAGCAAGTGTCCATCCGTCTGTATTATTATTTACAACGAAGGTCTCTCACCTTTTTGAGCAGGTGTGACGCCGCGCGAGCGACGCTCCGAGATCGCCTGAGATAGCGCGGCGCGGCCCCGAGATCGCCCGAGATAGCGCGAGATCGCCCGAGATCGCGCGGCGCGGCCCGGGGCGAGGTGGGTGGGTTGGGAGCGAGGGGGCGGAAGTGACCAGTGCGGTAGATGGTAAGCTCGAGGCGCGTGAGCCGGACTTGGGAGCCGGACCACCCCCTCTTGTTATCTGCGTTGTTGAGCCAGGACTCAACATACTCGGGCTTGCTCATCCCAAACTGTCACTCCCCTTTCTCCCGGCCGGGGTGGGGCGCGCGCGGGGGCGGCGGGTGTGCGGCGAGTGTGCGGGATGTCTGTGGGCCCGAGAGCGATATGCCATGTCCGCCTTGCGTTGTTTCATAACACCGAAGGCTAAAACCAAAAGAAAAAAGCTGACGAAACTGGACGCGCGCTCCTCCCTCCTCCGACGCACCTCCTCTCCTCCGCCTTGGCTGCCGCCTCTGCATGGGGTTTATCGAGCTTCCCGCGCTCGCGATGGAGGGCAGCGACGCCCGCACCCGTCTCTCGATGCTCATCACCGCGCTGAGGCAAATAGTGATGCTGCTCCTCGCCTTCTGCGTCGTCATGGCGCTGGCTGGCCGCGCCTACGAGTCTGGCTTCGGCCCGCACGCCGACACCGACAGCAGCGGCACGTCGGCAGGGAGAGACGCGGCGCTGCCAGGGTCGAGGCGGCGGTGGGCGGAGGAGGGTCCGCTCATCGGCCTGGCCGCTCCGCGCTGGGGCGGCAGGCCCGCACAGCAGTGGCAGCCGGCGGTGCCGCTGCAGATGCGTCCCTCAAAGTGGAGGCGAGTGCCGCACTGGCCGCCGGCAGCGCCTCCGCGGCCTCCTCCGCGGCCTCCGAAGGCGGCTAGAGTTAGATGGGGATCACGTATGCTTGTATTCAAGCGGCCAGAGAGTACTCCGCTGTAGTATTCAATCGCATTCCTCTGTGCCCTGGCACCTTCACACTGGCGTATTCACGGACGGTCGCAACCCCGGGCCCAGCTCACACACTCAGTCGTGAACGGCCAACAAACAGAGCGGCAGCCACAGCCAGGCCACGCACAGCCAGGCCACGCACAGACAGACAACACACACACTGCAGGCGCCGAGGCCGCCCGCGCCGCCTCCACGGCCGCATTCGTGGCTTGAGGGCTACCTCGACTGCGACTGCTCCTGGCTCGTTGACGGGGCGGCGAGCTGCCAAGGCGAGGCGCGGGGCGAGCAGTCGTACTCGCTGCTGGGCGTGCAGGCGCGTCCTAGCCCCGCTGCATGGGGTGTGTGCCGAAGTCCCTCGCCGGAGTGTGCTTGAGCGTGGTTGCCCCCGCCCGATGCCGATCTTAAGGTGCCGCTGCCCTCCTTCGGCTCCCTGCGCGACATCGACTTTCGCAGCATCGGCTTCGACTTCAGCGGAGGAGGCGGAGGCGCCGACGCGCCGTCCCCGGCAGCGGCCGACGGGGAGGAGGAGGAGGGTGGCGGGCCCGGGGGGCAATGCGTCGACTGGTGCTGCTGCAGCTGCGAGTGGACGGCGGACTACGCGTGTCCGCAGACGCCGGGCCACCCTCGCCCTCCCGGCCGATTGGGCTATGCAGACGACGATGGCGGAGCTTGCTTCGGGTACTGCTGCGACCAGCCTCGCTCTCCCTCGGTGTGAACAGCGTCTCTTCACACCTCTAGCTGTGAACAGGTACTGCTGCGACCGTCCCGACGACCACGCGGCGGACATTCCCACAGGACGGGCAGGGCCGGGAGGACTGGAGCACGTCATCGGCTTGGGCTGAGGCGACGGCGTCGGTTTTGCCGTTTGGTTCGGTTTTGCCGTTTGCTTTGGCCGTGGGCTCGAGGCGGGTACGCCTTCGATGGCGCGCTACGAACGGGTCGTGACCACGATGAACGAGCGGCTCAAGGGAGGGTTGTGTCGAGGGCGGGGGAAGCTACTCCATGCGCCATGTGTCTGTGCTTGACCGCTTGTGCCGCGTTGTGTGACAATGTTTAGCATGATCGTGTTTAGGTAGGGTGTCTCTACGTCGGCGGTACTCTGTGCGCCCACTGTGTAGCGGCACTTGTGAGTGTTGATATCTCTACTTCTCATTACTTCCTTGAGAGATTTTCGACGACATTCGATAAAACGATATCTTCAACCTCACTCTCTCTCTCGCCACACTCGCTCCAACCTACACACTTTAGTCTTTAGTACGGCTCTACTCGAACTGGTAGGATCTAGGAACTCGCGCGCGGCACGCGTGTTGGTGTTCGGGGGGACTCTCACAAAAAAAACTGTTCGGTTTTCAAAGGCAAAAACGCCGGCGTACGCCCTCCCCTCACACTGACACTCCACCTCCCAGCGAGCTACGGCTTTAGGATCTCCGCTTTTTCTCCCCTAGTCATCCCGCGCGCCCGCGCCGCGCGCCTCTACGGGGCGTCTAGTGCAGCCACTGACAGAACTATTCCCGAGGAGTGGTCGACGTCTCGCCTGAAGTTGGGTGGGCTCGCGCACTGCTTAGCCCTAGGGGAGGGGTGTGTGTGAGGTGGTGGAATGGTAAGGTTTCAGGCCAGAGGGGTGGGGGATTTGGGGGATGTATCAGGAGCCAGCAGCCTTCCTACTGGACCTGAGTTCTCAGCGCTTCCGCCCGACGGGGTGGTCCCTTGGATTCGGGCCCCGCTCCCTTTTTCCTGCGCCTGGTCTGTCCCTGTCATGAGTGTGTTGCGAGATGCAGAGCTGGTGCTGGGGCACAGATCTGGTTACTGGTTAGGCTGGAGAGCTTGAGTTAGGCTGGGGCACAGAGCTGGTTGGGCTGGAACACAGAGCTGGTTAGGCTGCTGGTTAGGCTGGGGCACAGGGCTGGTTGGGCTGGAGCAGTGGAGCACAGAGCTGGTTAGGCTGGAGCAGAATGCTGGTTGGCTGGATCGCGGGCGGTGCGGTGGCCGGCGATGGCAGCGCGTTAGGGGAGAGGCGGTCGCGGGGCGTCGAGTGGCGCGATAGGAGGGTAGGCTGGCTGTGGGGGGGCGCCGTGTGGACTCGGCAAATGAGTAGTGGTTTATGAGCGGCCAGCTAGGGGGGGGGTCCGACCCCCCGCAGCGCCTTCACCACATGCTAGGGGGAGGTGAGTCAGAGAGAGAGAGAGAGAGAGAGAGAGAGAGAGAGAGAGAGAGAGAGAGAGAGAGATGGATTGGAGATCACTAAATAGAAAAATAGAAAAAGTAAGCCATGGGATGGCCTTTGTCGGCGGTGCAAACGACAGTGCTGAGCTACCATCACAGCAAGAACCCGCGGCACGAATTTCTTCAATGCGTGCCACAGCAATCGGCCTGCGCCTCCTTGGGCCCCGGGGGCGGCGAGGCGGCCATTGGCGCGCGCTCCTTGTCTACGTGGGTCCGAGTTTTTTTCGGGGGGACTCTCACAAACGTCCCCTGTGGCTATGAGTCGCGAAGGCGCGGGCCCTCAGCTCTCGATGTCGAGACACTCGTCCGTTGACCCACAATCAGGAACGTGTACGGTGTAGATCTCGAAGCGGACTTAGGTCTTACATAGGGGAAAGCAGCGCTCTCACGGCTCAGAGGGTCGAAGCAACGCATTTGAGTTCCCGGTGGCACACACGGTGTTCGTGGGCACGCGCCTCGCGCTGCCGAACGTGCGTTTTGTGCACGCCGTCTCTACGATCGCTCACAGTTTGAGCTGAGTTTGAGCTTGAACCCTGCCCGCCCGCTCACCGCATCTCGAATCACTCTCTCTCCCTCGTTGCCCAAATAGTTGCAACACGAGACACAAGTACACGCTTCGACGCCTCATCCTCGCCCTGCGCGCCGCGTGGGGCACCGCTGTGCGAATGGAGCCGAAAGCCCACCTCGGTCAGAGTTACAACAAACAACCCGACGTGGACGCGGACAACATTGGCTCGCACGGCACGCACTATTGCGGGGACGTCAAAGTCGTCTGTCCCCTCAGCAGCAGCGGGGAGCACGGTCGGAAGGGCGCTTTTGTCGCTTTCGGCAACACTGAATCATTCTACCGGAACATGGTCGAGGGGCATGGGCCCTACTGCGAGGAGGGGGAGGGGGGGAAGGGGGGGGGGGGGGGAGGGGGAAGGGGGGGGAAAAGAAGAAGGGGGGGGGGGAAGGGTACCGGGGGGGCGGCATGGAGGGGGAGAGGAAGAGCAAGGGCGAGAGAGGGCAAGGGACCGGGCGCTGGCATACCAGGGGGGGCAGGGTGGTGGGCGGCGACCGCCGCATACCGTCCTACGGCGGGGACTATCGCTACGCCAGGGAAGACAAGGGCGTCGAAGTGCAGCTGCTGCTGTTCGAATCGTTCGGCGGGTTCGGAAAGGGGGTCCGTGAGATCCTCAGGAAGGCGGCGGACGTACTACAGAACAAGCTGACGCGGGCCCAGTACCTCGATGAGGTGACTTGGACCACCAAGAGCTGGCTGGGGCTGCAGAAGCAGCGCATCTCAGTCGTTCTTCACACGGCAATCGCAGAACAGATTGTGAATGAGCTTGCCTGTGGCGGGGGTGGGCGGGTGCACGGAGCTAAGTGCCTCGCCACCCTCGCAGGAGTCGCTTAGGCGGCTCCCGTGGTGTACCTGTGTTAGTGCCAGTGCGAGCCAGTCCCGTGCCCAGTCCTGTGCCCAGTGTCGTGCGAGGGAGTTTGGTTGTAAAATTCTTTTTTCAATCCCGAGGTCTCTCCACAAAAATGCGCACTGCCCTCCTCGCATGCCTCGCCTCGACAGAGGCCCTGCTGATCTCTCCGTTTCGCGTCACCTCATCCGCTGGCCGTGGATCCGTCAAGGCGGCGGCCTGCGACTCCGAGGCAAATGACGGCGACCCGTCACTCATTCTCACCACCAATGTCGCGCTCAGCGACAAGGCGGCTTTCGTCAAGGCCTGCTCCGCAGCCATCGCGACCAGCCTCTCCAAGCCCGAGGCGTACGTCGCCGTCTGTGTCACCGACGGCCACGAGGCGATGTCCTTCGGCGGCAGCACAGATCCGTGTGCGCTCGGCTGCGTCTACTCCATCGGTGCACGCTCGTAGCTAGCGAGTGGCGGCCCGTTGCGCGTCCGAGACGCTCCCACGGTACGCCTAGGCGCCATCAACCAGGAGAACAACGGCGCCCTCACCAAGGCCATCTCCGAGCTGCTCGCGGCGCACGGAGCAGTGCCCGCCGACCGAGTGTACCTCAACTTCTTCGACGTAGCGCGCGCCCCGCCCTCTCCTCGCCTCCGCCGCCCGCATATCGGACGCCGCATGGCTCGTAGGTGCCGCGCGCAAACTGCGGCTGGAGCGGACGGACCTTTGCCGGATGAGAGGAGAGACAGAGGGAGAGAGAGGGAGAGAGAGGGAGAGAGGGGCGGGCAGGTCGACGCGAGGCGGGCTCAAGGTGTCTGGCCGCCGCCGCCGCCGCGCGGCGGCGGCGTTCGGTTCGCCGGCAGGTCGGACGTCAGAGGCAGGGTGGCATGGGACTGCGCGGGGTCGCGCGAGCCACAGTAAGCCAGAAACGCCCCAAACGGTTGCTGCCTAGCCCAACACACGATTCACAACACACGATTCGAGAGCCCCACCGTCGGCGTCGTGGGTGCCTAAGCCCCTTAGCCTAAGGTAAGCGTAAGGGCTAAGGCAAGGTTAAAGGTAAACTTCTCAACCTTCGGGTCGTTCGGTGCGCCGCCGCATCCGCCACCTCCCGCGACACATGTACACTGACACGAAAAGAGAGAGAGTTCAGCGCGAGATAAAGCGAAGGTTTTGTTCTCGTTGTGGTCTCGATGTGACGAACTGTCAGCTGGCTGCTGCGCGTGCTGCAACCTGCATCGTGCATGCCCAGACCGTGCGACTGGCCGGTGGAGGGTGTGGCCGGTTGGGCCACGGCGAACCAGTCGCTGCCGAAGAAGGTCGATGCCTTGGCTGGCCAGCGCGTCGTGAGTGTGCGTCCACTGGGGCGGCCCACAGGCACAGCATCGCCCTCACTGGACACTGCCCGGCGCCGTCTTCACGTGGGGCGAGGGCGATCTCGCCCGCCTAGGCCACGGAGAGGACCTGTGGAACCAGCTGCTGCCCAAGAAGCTCGAGGCGTGGCCGCCTAGCACGCCCGCATCCGCTTGACTACAAACGACTGACCGCAAAGATCCTCCGCGAAACTCGTGAACTAGCCGGGGCAGTCGGAGAAGTGGCAACTCCGTGCACTGACGGTCGGCCGTCAGAAAACACGCCTCCGTGGCTCGGGTTACACCAATCCTCGCTACCCAACGCGGCCAAAGGATATCCACCTCGAGAACCTCGAGAGAGTCCTGACAGACAAAAGAAATCACCCTGGGTCTCGCGCCACTCGGCCGACCATGAAAAGCGCACAAGCAAGAGAGGCGCGGCCATGGTGCAGGCAACGTTACAGCCGGCAACGTGCATAGGCAGCAAAGCTCGGCCACGACGTCCATGGCCCGCGCGCCCCCGATTTGCCACCGGCGGCCTGCAGGCCAGCGCCGAGCAGCGGACTGCTGACCGAGGCAGCGCCCACGGCAGCGCCCACGGCAGCGCCCACAGCAGCACCCACGGCAGCACCCACGGCAGCGCACACGGCTTGGCTGGCCATGTCAGCCGCGCAGGGACCCTCCCGCGGGTCCAACCCGAAGCGCTCGACCGCTCGACAGCGCAAGTCGGCTGACGGAGCGAGCCGCATAGCCCTCCAGTGCTCACCGCAGGATCAGGCCTGACCGGCCCACTCACGGCCTGGCCTGCCTGTGGACCAGCAAACTCGTTGGCTGTACGCGAGGAAAGAGCTGCGTGGCTGGGTCGATACCGTCCCCGTGCGCCCTTTCCCTCAGTGGAGGGCCGTCCCTGCCCTCGGGAGTAACTCGACTGTACACCCCTCCCTACTCTCTAGCTAAGGGCTCTATTCACAGCGGGGGGACAGTGGTTGTCCTGGCGGAGTCCTGACGGAGTCCTGACAGAGTCCTGACGGAGTCCTGACAGAGTCCTGACAGAGTCCTGACAGAGTCCTGACGGAGTCCTGACAGAGTCCTGACGGAGTCCTGACAGAGTCGTGACGGCCTATTTTGGAGTTTTTCAACTTTGAGGTATTGTAACTATGTGAAGGCACTATGAATGCATCAGTTCTTTGGGAGAGTGCAATCCATTTAGTTATTACCTCCAACTCAAAAAAAGTCTGGTGGCAAACGGGCAATGGGGTCCCTTATGGTATATGGTGGCCTCTAAAAGGGTAAGTTGCGGGAGCTCCACAAACCAGGTTTGCCGTTTGCGCTGCAGCGACTGTCGGTGCAGCTCTGGACGGCGCTCGCGGACGAGGCACAGCGCGCCATTGGTGCGGCGTCGCGCGACCGCGAGGGACCGCGGGGGGGGGCTAGCGGGATGGGGGGCTCTAAGGGGAAGGGAGCGGGGGGCGCCCAGTAGGGCGCCGGCGCCCCAGCGTAGAGGGCCGTGTGTAGCCCTCTTTTTGGTATAATAAAAGTCACGCTCCAGAGACGCAGGTCGCGCTTGCCGAGTCGACGGGGAGTGCTAACGACACAATACCCCCCCCCCCCCCCTTAACTGCCCGACGACAGAGGCAACTCTTTTGCAGTGTGTCGTGCAAAGACGCCTGCGCTCGTAGGTTTGTCCACAAAACGGACCCTAAAGTAAGTGCTGGTACGGTGTATCATTCACCTTATGCCACCGTTGCATATCCGGATATGCAACTGTGGCATAAAGTGAATGATACACCGTCGCAAAACTGCATTGGGTCTCGAGTTCGAATCCCGCAGTTCGACGACTCGGCGCAAAAAACCCAGACGGGCGTTGTCACTGGTTCGAAACCCACCTTAGGCTTACCGTAGCGTTCATCTGCTATCCGCCGGTACCCAAACCGGATGCATCTCCGCACGACCCAGGAATGCAGTTTTGCGACGGTGTATCATTCACTTTATGCCACCGTTGCATATCCGGATATGCAACGGTGGCATAAGGTGAATGATACACTTTACGGAAGCGGCATAGCTACGGAGTACGCTAAAGCCGTACGGCTTTAGTTGCTTTTGCCAACCAACCAAGCACAGTTGTGCGCCTCTTTTTATATTTAATGTAGATCTTTTGTATCTTGTACTAGCTGCACGGGGAGAGCCTGAAGGTCTCGTGTGCCTCGCTGCTGACGCCTGCCGATAGACGGGAGGGCAGACGGCAGCGGAGCCACACCACGAGCGCGACGAGCGGCGGCAGAGCGAGCACAAACGGCAGCGCGGCGGCGAGGGAGAGGCAGTCGATCTCGGACAGCCGCAGCGTCGACCGCTGCGCCCAAGTCATCTTTAGCACGCCGCCCGCATCCTCCCACCTAGGGTAGAACGAGGCAAGAATATAGTACCTCATCCCAAGGCTGTGTGGACTCTTTCATGTCCTGAGTCAAGCGCCCGGCGTATAACACTGCTATGGCTCGGTGCGAGCAGGTGTGAGCAAGGCCCGGCGTGCGCACTACGTAAATGTGTGGGTCGCGACGGTCTAACCTCTCGACTAACCCAGTGCTAACCTCGCCACCACCCGAGCCGCGCCACCCGCCCCGCCGCCCTCGCCGCCTCCCCAACGTCGGGTGCGGTTGCGGTCGGCTGCGCCGTCAAAGGCGCGAGGAGCTCCGCGCGCCAGTATAGCGGTCGACCACCCTCTGTTCCAGTGGCGGAAGGTGCTGCCGTCGGCCTCGAAGGAGGTGCGGATGTTCAGCTCGCTCGCGGCGAGGCGACCGGTCGCGGCGGACGCGGCGACGGCGCGTGCAAAACTCGGCTGGTCGCGATCCGCGCCGCCTGTTGTCACGAATCATTCTCGATGAGTCAGAGGCTCTCCATTCATTAGCTTGCGGTGGCGCGTCCGAGCCGCCGGAGAGAAAGTACTCCTTTGCCCACGCGTCCATCACCTGCGGGAGCACAAGATTCGTCCGAGACTCTTAGACTCTTCGTTCCTCAAGGTTTGGCCGAGGCTCTGGCCGAGATTCCTCGCCGAGATTCGGTCGAGATTCGGTCGGGATTCGCGTGTGTCGATCTCTCACCTCGCGGGCGCCGCGCTGCACGAGGAGCCCGCCGTCAATGTAGGTTGGGTAGGAGGAGGGGGGCACGGCAGGGTCGGCGCGGTAGCGGTCGACTTGCGCGACGAGCCTGATTAACTATTAATTGACTATCAATTACCGGTTGATTAATTGTTGTAGCGGGACTTGCGCGACGAGCCTGATTAACTAGTAATTGACTATTAATTGACTATTAATTACCGGTTGATTAATTGTTGTAGTTATCGACTTGCGCGACGAGCCTGATTAACTATTAATTGACTATCAATTACCGGTTGATTAATTGTTGTAGCGGTCGACTTGCGCGACGAGCCTGCGTTCACACACGTGTGCGCCGAGTGAGCAGACGCCGTTCACAGCAGGCGGTCAAACGCATGTGCACACAGCGAGGTGGAGCCTTGCGGGGTCGTCTAGCCGGCCGGAGCGAAGGACGGCCGATGCCTCGCGCTCCATCCAGTCAAAGGCGGGCGACGGGCAGCCTGCGAAGAGAGAGAGGGAGAGAGCCGAGAGATAGAGAGCCGAGATCGAGCCGAGAGGTCGTCTCATGATGCGCGCGTGAGAGGGGCCTCTGCCCTCCTCCCGGCCCACCCCCGCCACGCTGCAGCCTGTCCACGCTGCACGCCACAGCCGCCAAGCGACGGACGAGCAGCGCCTATAGAGAGCCGAGAGGACGCCGAGAGATTGAGCCGAGGTGTCGGCGTCACAGCCGCAAGGCGGCGGAGGAGAGCGGCGCCCCTCGCAGAGCTTCGGGTGGCGGAAGGCGGCGAAGTTTGCCCCTCCTACACACACCAGCATCGCGATGCAGGCGAGACGTATGTGCAGCCGAGAGACTTTTAGCCGAGAGACTCTAGCGGAGAGCAAAACGCGCGCCGGCAAGGAAGCGCTCGAGCGCGTGGAGGGGAGCAGTCGGCCGCAGCTTCGAGTCGAGGAAGACGGTGGTGGGGTGCCTAGACGGGGAGAGGGGGCGGCTTTGAGGTACGCGGCTTCTCCGCCGACCGTGTGACTGTGCGTGTGTGTTTCTGCGGCGTGTGTGTGTGCCACATTGCCGACTCTGTGACCTCTGACTGTGGCGACGGTGTAATTCAGCTGTGACGGTGTAACAGGTTTTTTGACTGCGTGTGTGTTCGGACGCCTCCCGCTCGCGAGGCGCGGGAAGAGGAGGTGCGGCAGCAGCTTCGGGATGCGCGAGAAGGCGCGGCGCGACAGGCTCGCCGAGGACGCCGTCCGCCGGTGCACGAGATACGTCCACCCGGCGCCGGCAGCTGCTTTGTGCGCCGGCCGCGTAGTCTCCTCGCCGAGGAACAAGAAGGCACAGCCGGGAGGCGTGAGCGGCGGCGGAAGCGGATCGTGCGGCAGCTCGCCTGTAGGAAGTGCGGGCAGTGGTGTAGCGAGCGACGGCGAGGATTGTGCTCTCCGCGGTCCGAAACGCGACTGCACCGACAACGTCGACGCTGGTGTATGCGAGAGCCGTGCAGTTGGCGGCGAACACGGCCTGGGCAGTCTCGTGGCGCGTCGTGGGGTGCAGGAGGGCGCGCAGAGGGTCGATGTTGTGCGACGCCATTACGCATGAAAAAAAGTATTATTCGCTCCGCGCTCTCAAAAAAAAGGCGAGAGTGCTCTGAGCTCCCCGGCCCTGGAGGGTGAGCCACACCGAACGTACCGAGCGAAGAGCCGAGCGGAAGGAGGACGGGGAAGATGACTCAGAGGAGGACGAACCAGTGGAAATTCAGTTGTCAGATGTCACGATGCATCCGAAGGGGACCCCAGCGCCGGCATCATCCGTAGAGGCACGAGTGTTCGAAGAGAGAGTGGACCTGAGCAACAACATGACTTGGAGGCAAATGATCGGAGTGGGAGTCAGAAATGTGGTCCTTGCGCGAGGGGAGCTCGATAGACTCGAGGGGCCAGGATACGCCGCAAGGAGGACGGAGTTGCGCCGAGAGGCGAAAGAAGCCGCGAGAACAAGGGACCGGCAGGCGGCGGCGTCGCAGGACGAGGCAGAAGAGAACGACGCGACAGAGGGGGAAGTGACAAGGGAGAGAACGACGAGAGTGGGACAGCCGCGAGGTGGCATGAAGGTTGCAGCGAGAAGCGGCGAGAGACTGCGAAAAGAGATACGAGGAGGCAGACACCCCAGGGTGGGCGACGGCTAGCGCATCACACCCTCCTCTCCTTAAAATCCCTGTGTGGTGGCGGCGTGCCGTTCTCCCAGGGGGGGGGGGCGGGAGCTGAGGCAGGCGCGGGGGAGGGGCGGAGGGCGCCAAGGAGGGCGCTGGGGCACCGGGCGGTCGTTGAGTTCGTATGTAGATTACAATCGTCGCATTGAGAGACAGAGAGATGCTTCTCTCGCATCGATGTCGAGTATTGATGCATGACTGCAAACCCTTCGGAGTTAGTGCCATTGCGCGCAAGTCCCGGAAAATTCTTTTTCTCGATTCACGCGAGGCGCGGGGCTGTGGTGAGGGGACGGCTTCTGACGAAGCCGTCGCCCGCGCCTCGCCTGTCGCGTGTATCGCGTTGTGCGAGTGTGACCGCCTTTTCTTGTAAAATTCTTTTGGCGTAATTCTTTTTGCTGAGAAAGAAAGAAAGAAAACAGACAACCCAAGGGAGGGATGGGAGGACGGCACGCCGCCACCACACATCCACTGTGCATGGCACTTGTTTCTTTTTTCTGACGGCCTTCTCGCAGAAGCTCCACTGCTCGCTCGCGGCTCGCCGCATGTACGTGCTATCGCCTCTGCTGGCGGCGCTGAGCTTCTTGCCGGTCGGCCCAGCTGCAGCACCGGCTCTGCAGAGCCGGCCGCAGCCGTTTGGCGTCGCGGCGGCAGCGGCGGCGGCCTCGCCGTGCAGCAGGAGGAGAGCGAGGCAGCCGCGTGCGGCGGCAGCGGCGGCGGACGACGGCGACTATTACGACCCTTCCAAAATCCGCAACTTTTGCATCATCGCGCACATCGACCACGGAAAGTCGACGCTCGCGGACCGGCTGCTCGAGACGACGCGCAGCGTGGCGGCGCGGGAGATGAAGGCGCAGCTGCTCGACAGCATGGACATCGAGCGAGAGCGCGGCATCACGATCAAGCTGCAGGCGGCGAGGATGGACTACTTCGCGTCGGACGGGGAGCGGTACATCCTCAACCTCATCGACACGCCCGGCCACGTCGACTTTGCGTACGAAGTCTCGCGATCGCTGCAGGCACATGGGGAGATATGGGGAGATGTGGGGAGATGTGGGGAGATGTACTACTTTGCGTACGAAGTCTCGCGATCGCTGCAGGCGTGCGAAGGCGCTCTGCTGGTGGTGGACGCGTCGCAGGGCGTCGAGGCGCAGACGATCGCGAATGTCTTTCTTGCGCTGGACCAGGCTCCTGAGTCACACCACACCCGCTCAGCCTTACTAATGATATGTACGATGAAGCACTCCAACGTTGGGTCACTTAGCACGCTTCACGCATCAACCGCCAAGTTTACCGTCGCGTTTTGGGCCAGGACCTCGAGATTCTGCCGGTGCTCAACAAGATCGACCTTCCCGGCGCGGACGCTGACAAGGTGGCTGGCGAGGTGGAGGACGTCATCGGGCTCGACTGCTCCGAGGCGATCGCCGCGTCAGCAAAGCAGGGCATCGGCATCGAGGTCAGCCCTGGAGCGGCCAAGCGGTTAGAGGCGGGCAGGCAAGGAGCATGACAAGTGCCCCCCCCCCCCCCTTCCCCCATCCCTCAGGCCATCCTCGAGGAGGTGGTCCAGAAGGTGCCCGCGCCGGCAGACACGCGCCGCCTGCCGCTGCGCACGCTCCTGGTAATTGATTAATGGCTCCCCATGTGGCAATTAATTAATGAACAGGCGCCACCTGCCGCTGCGCGCGCTCGTCTTCGACTCGTACTATGACGCGTACCGCGGTGTTATTGTCTTTATCCGAGTGGTCGACGGCAAGACGTAGCCGAGATACCGCCGAGATATAGCCGAGAGGCAGCCGAGAGGCAGCCGAGAGGCATGCCGAAGAGGCGGCGCGGTTGCCTGAGACTAGGCGAGCTGCGCAAGGGGGACAGGATCCAGTTCTCCGCGTCTGTGAGTTAATTAGTTGATTAATCTCCATTTGGTAATTAATTCATGAACAGGATCCAGTTCTCCGCGTCCGGGGCAAAGTACGAGGCGCTCGAGGTCGGCGTGCTCACTCCGGGCGTGGGGGCGGGGCAGCAGTCGAGGCCGGTGTTGCGGGCGGGGGAGGTGGGGTATGTCCACGGGGCAATCAAGTCGGTATGGCACACCCCAGATGCACACACGAGAGTGTACCACACACACATGCACATGCCACGTGCACATGCAACATGGACAATCAATCAATGAATTACACTGATTCATTCGACCATGACACGTCCCTCATAAACTGATTAATTAGTCCACGACGCGCGTGTTAATTAATTAAACAATTAATTGTCCGATTAATTAATTACTTTACTCCACGAGACGTCCCTCAGGTGGACGACGCGCGGGTCGGCGACACAATCACAATCTCCGCGTACAAGGACGGCTCCGCCCCGCCGCCGACAGAGGCGCTGCCCGGCTACCGCGAGCCGGTTCCGATGGTGTACTGCGGCCTCTTTCCGACGGAGACGACCCAGTACCAGCTGCTGCGCGACTCGCTCGAGAAGCTCAAGCTGAACGACGCCGCCCTGGTCTGGGAGCCGGAGACGTCCTCCGCGATGGGGTTTGGCTTCCGCGTCGGCTACTAATTCACTATTAATGACCTATTAACGACCTATTAATTGCCTATAGGTTTGGCTTCCGCGTCGGCTACTAATTAACTATTAATTAACTATTAATGAACTATTCATTGCCTATAGGCATAGGATGTGGTTGGATCCTGACCAGTAGGCGGGCAGAGCGCACTGCGATCGTTTTCGTTACGGTTTCTGTTAGATCGAGTTAACTCAGTACGTGATTCCCGCCTGGAGATTTGCAGGAGCGGCTGGAGAGGGAGTACGACCTCGACCTCATCGTGACCGCGCCGTCGGTGGTGTACGAGGTCGAGCTCAACGACGGGACGGTCGAGCTGTGAATAGAAGAGCTGTGAATAGAAGAGCTGTGAATAGGTCGAGCTCAACGACGGGACGGTCGAGCGGGTGGACTCGCCCGCCAAGCTCTGCGATGCAGACAAGAGGAGCTCCATCTCCGAGCCCTACGTCAAGATGGAGCTGTTTGCGCCCAAGGAGTACTCTGGCACGCTGATGGAGCTGGCGCAGCAGCGGCGCGGCGAGTACCGCGACATGGAAAAGAAGAAGCTACCGTGGCTCTGACGGCTAGTTTTTCTTCTTCTCAGGCGCGGCGAGTACCGCGACATGAAGTTCATCGGCCCCGAGAGGGTGGCGATCACGTACGACCTCCCGCTCGCCGAGGTCATCACCGACTTCTTCGACCAGATGAAGTCTGTTAATTAATTAATGAACCTGTTAATTAATTAACAGGTCATCACCGACTTCTTCGACCAGATGAAGTCTGTTAATTAATTATCTAACCTGTTAATTAATGAACAGGTCATCACCGACTTCTTCGACCAGATGAGGTCTGTTAATTAATTAATGACCCTGTTAATTAATTAACAGGTCATCACCGACTTCTTCGACCAGATGAAGTCCCGCTCCAAGGGGTACGCCTCGATGGAGTACCAGATCACCGAGAACCGCCCAAACGACCTGGTGCGGCTCGACATCCTACCTCACCATCTCTCCCCATACCTCCCCATACCTCCCCACACCTCCCCATACCTCCCCATCTCTCCCCATACCTCCCCATACCTCCCCATACCTCCCCACACCTCCCCATACCTCCCCATACCTCCCCATACCTCCCCATATCTCCCCATACCTCCCCATACCTCCCCATATCGCCCCATTCCAGGTGCGGCTCGACATCCTGATTGCTCAGGAGCCGGCGCCGCCCCTCTCGACGATCGTGCACCGAGACGCCGCGCACAGCATTGGCAAGAAGCTGACTCGCACGCTCAAGGACCTGATCCCGAGGCAGCAGTTCAAGGTGGCGCTGCAGGCCGCCATCGGGCAGAAGATCGTCGCGTCGTCGGCAATCTCCGCGATGCGCAAGGACGTGCTCGCAAAGTGCTACGGCGGCGACATCTCGCGCAAGAAGAAGCTGCTCAACAAGCAGGCCAAGGGCAAGAAGCGGATGAAGGCGATTGGAAAGGTCAACGTGCCGCAGGAGGCATTCATGGCGGTGCTGAGTCTGAAGGACGACTAGCGGCTGTGTGTCCTCTCTCTGCTGAGTCCTGTAGTCGTGTGTGTAGTCCCGCTCGGTCAAGATTACGTTATTTCGTTCGATGAACACCGTGTCTTCTGGTTCTGCCAAAAAAGGCCGGCGCGCTCGCCAGCTGGGACGCAGCGAAGCCATTTCGAGACATTCGCCAAGAACGCTAGCTACATGGGAGGGCTTCGTGAAGGATGGATTGAAAAACATTCGAACAAAGAAGAGGCGACGGGAGGAACCGGCGGAGGATGCAGTGACGTGACACACACACACACACACACACACACACACACACACACACACACACACACACACACACACACACACACACACACACACACACACACACACACACACACACACACACACACACACACACACACACACCGCTCACCCACGCGCACTGGGCCTTGCACTTTGAATGCCGTGGGGCTCCTGTCGTCAGACGTGGAGACGCGAGGGTTGCCCCCCCTTGCCCCACCACCTCGTGTGTGTGGAGAAGTTTACCTTACCTTACCTTACCGAAGCCATCGAGATCGCGGTCTCTCGCCGCTCGCCGCGCCCGCGGAGCAACACGCCGTGCTCGCTGCTGTTCGACCGGCCGCCCCTAGTGACGGCCTTCGTCATGGAGATGCGGGGGGGCAACACACAGAGCGGCGGGGTGAGGATGCTCAAAAAAAAAACTGTTCAGTTTTACGAAAAAGGGAGCTACCTGCTCCGGCGACACTAGGGACTCGGGCCTGATCCCGCACAAAACATCTCCACACACTCTCTCCTCTCTATGACACGACTCTCCGACCTTGGGCTAGATTCCCATATTTCACCACAAGCGCCAAACTGCTTCGCCGCGCGCTGCTTACAGCGTCAAGTGCGGCCCTTAGCTGAGTAGAACTCGAAGTGGGCGTCGAGGGGGCCTATAGTAGAGTGTGAGCCCGCGCGCTGCAAAGCTCGAGTGTGGGCGATGGCGCGAGCTGGGCCATGTACTAATTGCGTGCGACTGTTTCTGCCGTCTTTGAGGGGGCGTGGGCGTAGGAGTGGTGCTCTGCTACCCTTGCAGCCGAGCGCCTTCTCTCAGCTCCATTGCCTCTAGGGGTTGTGGCCGTGGATTTGGCCCCCTAGCCCCCCTCTCCGAGAGCAGGCCTGTCCAGTCTGTGTGGGTGGGGCGCCGTCGTGGCGTGAATCTTGCCTGCCCGTCGTGGCGTGAATCTTGCCTGCCGATGTTGGGGTGTTGCCGAGGTGGCGTGTCGGGGTGTCGCCGTACGCGGAGGGTAGGCAAGCGGTGGTGGGGACGGGTTCCGGGGCTTTGTCGAGCGTGGTAGTCGCCTCTGGTCTCGAGGTGTGAATGGAGCTGTGTGTCAGCTCTGACTATCTCGCGTGATATCGGCCGCGTTGGCGGTTTCAGCGTGCTTCAGGCGAGGGATTTGGTTGGTGAGGGCGCGGGTGGAACGCGTCCGAGGGATCGCGGGCGCGGGCGAGTGCCGAAGGCGGTGTGGCGCGCCTCAGACCGAGGTCTGTTTGCGCCTGTTTGCGCCTGGTCGCTTGCATAGGGTCGATCTCGGCGGTTGAGTTAGTGTTGGCACCCCGAGTGACTGGCTTGATTGTTGGGCTGAGTGCGAGCCCTAGGGCGCCTCATCCGGCAGGCTGTCACTCGGCGGGGGTGGGGAACGCGAGACGGGGTCCATTTGTGGTTGGGACCGTGCGTGCGGGGTTGGGCGACTCGCAGCCGTGGGTGGGCACTGGGACATTGTTGACGCGCCTGCGGGCGTGCCTGCGGGCGCGTTTGAAAGCGCTGATGCGCCTCCTGCGAGCTATCCGTGGCAGCAGGAGCGCGGTTTTTCGTGAGAGGGTGTGAATCACCGTGTGTGCACCGGGCATTGGTGGATGGAGTGTAAGCGCGCAGAGGCGTGGTGAGAGGAGGGCGGCCATGCAGAGGCTGACTCGGGGATGCCTACTGGGATGGCGGCCGCAGGCTGCGGTGTGAAGGGCAGTCGCCGAACCACGGAGTCAAGGAGAGCCATAGAGCCGAAGAGCCACAGCAGTGGCCCGGCTGCCATCAGCAGCTGCTCTGCGAGATTGCATCTCGCTACTCTCGGTGAAGTAACTCTGGGTACAGGAATTGTATGCCCCTGCTGGCTGTGACCGGGATAGGCCCCCGTTGGCCCGGGGGAGCTGCGGCTCACGCCCAGCCCCCCGCGTGTCGTCGCCGCCATGAGTGCACGTGGAACCGCACAGAATGTGCGATTGGCACATGCTGGACCCGTTACCTCGCCTCGCGGCGAGGTCGGCGCGACAAACCGCAATCGAGCGGGCGCAGCCGCTACGATTGCGGCGGGCTGACCGGCGGTGAGCGCTGTCGCTGCCGCTCCGAGCTTCCCCAGAGTCAGCAGCACAGCAAGCAACCCGTGTACGGCCTCACGCACAGTGGAGGGTTGTCGGCACCTGTCGGCGCCAGTCGCCCTTCCAGCGCAGTGAAGCCGCGCCGTGTGCTGCTGCCGAGCCGCCGCAAGTCGGCTTTGAGGCCGACTTGTGGCTGGCAGTGGAGCCCTGAGCATGCTCGAGGACTGTGCCAGAGTTGAGGTACTGCGGCGTACATTGCTCAACACTGCGAACGAATTTTGACATGAGACCAACGCGCATGCGTTGGTTTGCAGTGACCTCGCCTGCGTCGTGCGACGCGGCGCGGACCAGGTGAGGCGATCGTCCGCCCCGACGGCGGGCCGGACGGATGGGTACGTCGTCATAGGGTACGCGACGATAAAAAAGATTTTGTAAGGGGTGAGGATGCTCTCCCCGAGCAACTCGTTGGCGCTACTCGGCGGATTGGGGCAGGGGCGGGGGCGGGAAACCAGTGGCCTGCGGCGCTCACGTCTGGTCGAACGGGCTTAGCAGAGCCCACTGATGCATCTTGTAAAAAATAGATGAAACGAGAAGGTGAGTGAGAGGCGAAAGGTGAAAGGTGACGAAAGGTGATTGTGCTCACACTGCTCAAACTTCCGGCCGTCCTTAGCAAATTCGAACCCATTAAATGCATTTTGCGCGCGACAGCAAGGCCGCGGCGTCGGGCAAAGCCAAAGGCCTGAGAAAAGAGAATTTTGCGACGAAACTGCTGAGAAAAGAGAAATCCTCGCGCGCCCTTTTTTCAACCTCTAGTCGTACACAGACACAGCGGGGGGGGGGGGGGGGGCTGTGTAAAGGTCGAGGCACAGGATGTCCGGAGGGGTTCGCGACCCGGGGGCGTCACTCAGTGTCATCCGTTGTATCACCGCTCCTACCATGCGACCAGGTCGAACCTGCGCCTTAGGATACATTCATGCGACCTTCCATGCTCGCCCATATCTGCTCGGTGGCCTCATCGATGCGACGCTCGACAGCGTCAGGCAGCCTTGGCGTGGCGATGAGGCCGAGCTTCCATGAAAGGATCAACCGTGGGACTCCAACGCCAAACATCGCGCAGATCATCGTACCCTTGCTAACGTACTTCATCAAGCCGGTGTCGACGTCGGGGTGCGCCAGCGCGCGCTCCCAGTAAGCCTTCAGTGCGGAATGTCGCTCCCATACCACATCGAAGAAGGCGGGGGACGCCATGCCAAACATGCGAAAGATGGGCAGAAAGAACACGTCAGCCGTCGTCAGATCGTCACCGAAGAGGAAGCGGCCGCCATTCTGCTCTAGGAGCTCACTGCCGCGCGCAAGTACACTGTGGAGTTGGGAAATGTTCGCCTGTAGGTCTGCCGTTTTCTGCTCGCCGTTCACCTGCGCCCGTTTCATGGTTTGCACATTGGCGATCTTCTTCACGTAGGCGTCAACAAGAAAGTCCTTGTCCTCGGGCTTCTCGTCCAAAACCTTGGCGAGATTTTGACGAAGGTGGGCGAGTCTGATCCCGTTGGCCATCTCAGACGTTTGCTCGCCCATGTGACCGTAGGTGTACATGTACTCGTCCCAGTCCTTTGCGAAGTGGACAAACTCAAGCATCTGCGCACGCTTGCCAGCGTCAATTGCCGCCTTGTCGCCGGCTCCAGGATAGTTGTCCATAAGGTAGACGACCATATCATACGAGTCGGTGAAGACCATGTCGTCAATCTCCATCGTTGGCACCGCCATCGTGTCAGGGTTGAGCCGCGCATACTCAATCGTGTAGTTGTCACGCATGTGCAGGGTGAGGCGTAAGTCAAAGTCGTCGCGCTTTGCGGAGAGTTGCGCTGCGAAGGTCGCCTTGCCGCTGTTGAAAGAACCGACGAAGTGGTACAGCACGGGTTTCTCGACGCGACGCGCCACCTTGCGCGAGCCTCCGACGGCCAGAAGTTTGGTCGGCATCCTGCACGTCCTCGCCTGCTTGCTTGAGCCCGCCTTTTTATCTTGAGGTGGCGTCGGCGTGTCGACTCGCGGCGGGTCGCGGCGTGTCGACGGTCCCCCTCGCGGATCGGTCGAACCACGTGTTTTTTTCTGAGAGCGCCTTCGTTGTTAATAGTACAAACCCAATGGTCCTCTGCGAGCGGTCCTTCGCTGCAGTCGCACACACGCACACGCCACGCCGCACCGCGCGCCCGCCCACCGCCCCGCCCAGGCGGGAAAGAGGTGGGGAGATGGGACAGCGAAGGAGGAGCACGAGCACGTATGGGAGGGTTCAGTAATGCGCCACGCTGCCCGGCGTTTCTCACTTTCCGGGACAGCCCCGCCCTTGTGAGGCAGGAAAGTGACGGCTACCCCGTACGCGCCTGCCGCTCTACTCGTCGCCGACCGCCCATTCCCCCCTCCTCGTTCCCCCCTCGAATGCTCCGGACCCCGACAAGCCGCCCGACGTTGGGCCTCTGCCCCGCACGCCCCCGCCCCTCGCTCACACCCCGGCCCGACACGCACTCTGCCCCGCACGCCCCCGCCCCTTCTGCCCCCCCCTCGCTCACGCCCCGGCCCGACGCGCACATACAAGACAAACCCGGCGTCCTGCTCTCAAAAGAAAAAGAAAAAAGGGAATGAGGAGACCAGCGGGGGAGACTCCCCGCCTATGCAAGCCCCAGAGAGGGGCCGCCATCGCCGAAGCTGTGCCAAAGCATAACTCCAAAACCCGCAGCGGCCCAGGGGGCCTTGGGGGCAGCCTGCCGGACCGCCGCTGCACGGGGCTAGGCACCAGAAGATGAGTGGAATTGATGAATTGGGCCGTTGTCCGTGCCTCCCCTCTATACGTCAGATTTATTGAGCTAGACTTCGTTGTTAATAGGAACAAGCGAAGGCACACACGACATGACGCCAAACACACGATTGCACGCACCGCGGTGTCCCAATCGCGCACAGAGTGTGTTCGCGAAAAGGCGCAGCGACCCCCGCCGTCCAGGGCCGGAGGCCGCTGTAGAGGCCCGTCTGCCCCGACCTCACTCCAAGGCGTACTTGACATTTGGCCAGGCGTTTGAAATGATCCAGTCGCCGAGGTAACCAGCCAGGTTGATGCTGTCCTTCTGGTAGCCAAAGAGCGGGAGCGCGCCGCCGTCCGAATACCCCTTGCACCCCTCGCGGTCGTGCTTCAGCGTGTACGGAAACCCCTTGTAGGGGCTGGCTGCAGTGTCGCCATAGAAGAGGTCCTTGCCGTCGGGGTTGAGCGACTTGTTGGCGTTGATCGCGTCCTTCCACTTGACCGGCAGCGTCACGAGGAGGGCGGACGAGCAGGCGCAGCGCGGGGTGGCGCAGCGCCATCACGGTCCAACCCGGCCGGCACCGGCACCGACACCGCTGGCGCGGCGGCGGACACCGCGACCGGGGGTGAGTCTGCGGGTACGAAGCCGACGTGGTGCGTGTGGCAGGACAACACGGCGGATGAGCTGTCGCGGATCAAGGCAGCGTTTGAGCGCAAGGGGATGTCGGTCGACATGCGCGCCTTTGAACGGGCGCTGATGGTCCCTGCTGACCGGGCGCGCCCATCGTGCATGCAGTCCCTGCCGCGTCAGGGGTCGAGGGCGGAGCCGATGCACAAGTATCTGCCGGCGCACCTGCGGCCGGCCTCGGCAAAACCGAAAGGGGCTAAGAAGAAGACGAAGTGAGGCGCCTCGTCTGCGCTGTCCCGGTGGGCCGTTCGCGGGTCAGCGGTTCGCCCGGATTTCCAGCATTCAGTCCTGCTCCCTTCGTCGTTGGAGGTTGATGGAGGCCCTCGAGTTGCCACGTCAGCGGCCAGGCTCTCGCAAAAGGGGGTGTGCCGGCTCTTGTCTTGTCTTAACGGTCTGCGTCTGGTGTGGTCTGTGGAATTGCATTCGAGAGTCTCGTCGCGCGTGAGTGAGTGAGTGAGTGAGTGGACACACGCACACACACTCTCGTCGCGCGTGTCGGTGTGGTACTGTGGCCTCCCCCTGGGCCCTGCGAAAGTGTTGCGGGTCTGTGAAAGGCGGCCGCGTGCGATGTAAGGTCTAGGGGTGTCAAGCCGCCATGTTTGAGAATAGTACACATGCGCACAGCTCCCAGCTCGCAGCTGGCACGCGTCTACACACTTGAGCGCGGGGCAGGCCTTACACACACATTCTGCACACCCATGAGTCGGCGCCTGCGGGCCCGTTGCAAGCCCCAGATGACTAGGACCCGCGGCGGGAGGGTGCTAGCGCCTCCCGGAAGACACCGGGCACCATTGCCGACAGGCGGCGTGGAGTCAAGTGCTCACTTCTTCATGACGATCATCGCCGTCGCGATGAGAGCGACCGCGATCGCTCCGCCGACGAAGATCTTGTTTTGCAGCTCCTTCTGCTTCTTTGCGGGGCACGCGCCCGGGTCGCACGCACAGCTTCCGGTCCCGCACCCGCAAGATCCATCGGTGCACGTGCAATCCGGGCCACAGGTACACACCATGGTCGTCTGCCTGCGGAGGACGCGAGAGGGGAGTCGGGCGGGCTGGGTGGCGCGGGCAGCAGTGATGGGCGCACACCAAACCGGCGTATCGGTGATTGGCGGAGCTGGGTCGCGCGCGTGTCTACCAAGAATGGGCTGGGTGCTTGCGGCACCGCACGATTCGTTCGTTTCTTCCGGAAAAAAGAAATACCGTGAGGTTGATTTCGACTACAGCAGTGCACGAGGCAGCCATTCTCGCCGAGAAGATGAGGGCGGTTCTCTCCAGTTGGGGTGCTTGCGCGCCGCGCGCCGCCGAATCGGCCCGGTCGCCCAGGCCTCTCCGCCAGAGAGAGAGAGAGAGAGAGAGAGAGAGAGCACTGCTATGGATCTCGTGTTAGAGTCACAACAAACCTGAATCCTCGCTACCCAATACGGACTACCCAACGCCAAGCCCAACGCTGCACTTACCCACATGAGCGACTGCATTGGTTGGCAAACCCCATTTCGCCACGTCACGTAGTTGCCCGTGGTTAGCGCACGCCTCCGCAAACACATGAGCGTCGGCATTTGCTTGCTGTTTTTCTTCTTTTCGGCGGGGATTTCCGCACCGGTTTTTCTTCTTTTCGCGACGACTCTGAGACGGAAGACGACATGGCCATGGCGTAGCGCAGTGTCACGCGACCGTTATACACACGGCGCCCCCCTGAGATTCGGTTGAGATGCACATGAGCTCGCCAGCTCGCGCGTGTAATTCGTCGATCGGCCGTCCTCTTCACACATCTCACTGAGATTGTTATTCAAATTCCATGTTCACAGCAATTGTCTCCCCTTTTTTTTCACCACCTGAGATCCCGAATCTCAGTCCTGCAATTATGACCCCAACTGCCCTGCCCTGCCCTGCCGTACTGCCCTGCCCGCGTACTGCCGCACAACTGCCCTGCCCGACCCCCTACCTGCCCCGGGTGTGAAACCCACACTGCCCTGCCCTGCCCTGCCCACACTGCCGAGGTGTGAATACCTGCCCGCTCGCGAGGTCTCGGAGAAACTTCAACCGACCGTATATGGCGAGCTATCCCATCGCCCGGCTCGCAGGCACGCCTGACGTGCCCGCCCAGCTACTCACCGGCCCACCGGAGCTGCCTCGGCTGGGCGGACCGGCAGAGCAAAGCCGACTGACTGGTCCGGCCGAGCTGGGCAGGATCACGGGTCCGCCCGAGCAAAGCCGGATTGCGGGTCCGCCTCCAGCGCCGGCGCCTGCAGCCTCATGCGCGGCGACGACGCTCTTTGTTCCGACCTACGAGTGGCAGCAACTGCCGGACGAAGCGAGAGTTCCGGCCGGCCTCGAGATCTCCCTGCCACTGGACGGAGGCGTGAAGCAGGCGCGCATCCCCCGCCGGTGGCAGCTCAGAGTCTGGATCGATGGCCACGGTTTTTGGCGCACCGACGTCACCAGAGGCACCCCGGTGGGAGAGCTCCGGCGCTCCGCTGCGCAGCACATGCGGCAGCCAACGGAGGCAGTCGAGCTGCTGCTCGACGGCAGCGCCGTGCGGGACGAGGAGACCGTCGAGTCTGTTCGCCTCTTCTCGCGCAGGGACGTGGTCTCGGTCCGGGAGAGAGGGTGAAATGACTAGCGTGGTTCTTGTACCGACACATGAGTGACTGGAGGGGTCTACACACGCGTCTGCAAGGTAGTAGTACGGGCTGCTGTGCTATGTGTCTGTGAGTTGTGTCCCTAGACGAGCCGGGCTGCGCCCCCACAGGCGCTTTTCTAGTATCCCGAGGCGGTGCCTTGGCGCTGATCTTTTCGGGTCTATGGCTTAAAAAAGAGATATTGGTGCTGCACTGTGCTGGTGGCGGGGCCCCGCGCGTGTTCGGGCCGTGCATATGCTGCGATAGTCCACAGAAAGTCGATCGTTCGCACGACAGTTCAGGTTGCGCGATCGCTCTGTCAACTCCGCTGGACGCGGAACTCCGCGGGTTGCCTGCGGGCCGACCTCGGGTTGCCCCTCGACCTCTGCTGCCGAGACGCCTTCTTGCCGCCTCCCCGCCTCGACCCCCCTCGCGGGCTCGCCGCCTCCTCAGCGATGGCCTCCTGGAAGGCCGTCGGCCGAGGAGCGGCGGCCGCGCCCTTCGGCAGCTTCGGCTCGACGATGGCGAGAACGAGGCGCGGCTTGCTGAGCGGGCCGAGCTCGACGGAGATGCGCACCTGATGAGCCACCGCTAGCTCTGAAGGAGGCACCCCCCTTGCCCAGGGCCGAGCTAGAGGCGCACCCGCACGCGGTCGAGCATACGGAGGCGGCACCCGCCCGCAGACAGCTCCTCCCGCTCCTTGTCGTAGCGGAAGGGGCTGGCGCCGCCCGGGGGGGCGAGGTGCGAGTAGCCTTCGAAGCCGTGCTCCGGCACCTGCCCACAGCTAGAGGTGTGAAGAGACGCCGTTCACAGCTAGAGGGCACCAGAACGGGCGCGGCACCTGTCCACAGGTGGGGGTGAGAGGAGACGCCGTTCACACCTCGTGCCACCCTCGCAGCCGTGCTGAGGCACGAGCAGCGTCACGCCCGACTCGGCCACGCGGACAACGTACGCGTCGCTGACCGTCGCCTGGGGGAGGGCAATGGGGGAGGCAAGCAGAAGAGGAGGGGGAGACCCACGGCCGTGAGAAGCCGGGGGAGGCGCACTGGAAGGACACACAGGCATGCAAGGCTGGCCACTCGCGACGCAGAGCATCTCCCACATCTCCCCCTATCTCCCCCTAGCTCACCCTATCTCGCAATATCTCGCCCTATCTCGCCAGCTCCTCATATCTCCTCCCCATATCTCGCCAGGTCTCGCCAGGTCTCGCCATATCTCCCCAGATCTCGCCTGCTGGTCGCGGAAGTAAAGCATCGTGAAAAGCTCCGCCGAAGCGCGCTCCGCCTGAGATGTGGGGAGATGTGGGGAGATATGGGGAGATGTGGGGAGATGTGGGGAGATATGGGGAGTTAGGGGGAGTTAGGAGATGTGGGGAGATGTGGGGAGATGTGGGGAGATGTGGGGAGATGTGGGGAGAGCGGGGTCTGTTCTCCGCCTGCTGCGCCATCGAGTGGCGCTCGTTCAGCGAGTCGATCAGCTCATCCAGCTCGCCTGGTGCGGAGATGCGGGGAGATACGGGGAGACATGGGGAGACATGGGGAGACTTGGGAAAACAGGGGGAGATATGGGGAGATATGGGGAGATACGGATCTGTCGTCCAGCTCGCCTGAAGCATGCTTCAAGGAGTGCGTCAAACGCGTCACTAGACCGCCTGCCCGCCGACCGGCTCGTGCTAAGCTCGCCGAGCCGCTCCGGCCACGCCGCCTCCTCCTCCGACTCCACCGCCTCCTCCGACTCCACCGCCTCCTCCGACTCCACCGCCTCCTCCGACTGCGCCGCCTCCCACCCGATTGCGTGCGCCAGCAGCCGGTGCACCACCTGTTCACAGCTAGAGGTGTGAAGAGACGCTGCTCACGCCGCCGGTGCTCCAGCAGCCGGCGCCTCACCTGTGGGACATGTCTCGGACATGTCTCGGACGCGTCCTGGAAGTGTCTCGTCAGCAGCCGGCGCACCACCGGGTGTCTAGGTGTCTGGGAAGTGTCCAGGAGGTGTCTAGGAGGTGTCTAGGAAGTGTCCTGGAAGTGTCTAGGAAGTGTCTAGGAAGTGTCTCGGAAGTGTCTAGGAGGTGTCTAGGAGGTGTCTAGGAAGTGTCCAGGAAGTGTCTCGGAAGTGTCTCGGAAGTGTCTGGGGAGCTCCACCTGGTCTGCGTACCGCCGGATCGGCGAGGTGAAGTGCGTGTACGTCGGCTCTGCAAGTCCGCTGTGCCTACGTGTCCCATACCTCCAGGGTATCGAATCCAGTGTGGGTTCCCTCCCATGGGTAGTGCGGTAGGGTGAGTCCGCTGTGCTTGCGTACTGAAGCCATATCTCCCCATATCTCCCCATATCTCGGCGGTACCGCAGTGTCTACGTACTGAAGCCACCAACCTCAGGGCGGGAGAAGGCGGTGTTGTGCAGAGCACTCAGAGCACCGCGTGAACATGCGGGAGGCAAAGACAGAGAGGATAGCTCAATACGTCCGAATACCGCTGGTGTCGTCTCCTCTCGAGCGCTAGTGCAAAGGCACAAGACACGGCTTCCGCTTCTGGGCCTCGAGATACCGAGAGATTACGGGGAGAGATGGGGAGAGATGGGGAGAGATTCCGCTTCTAGGCCGCGGCGCAGCCACTGCTCGCGAGGGACGGCGCCGGAGCGAAAGTACCTACGCGTCCCATACCTCCAGGGTACCGAATCCAGTGTGGGTTCGGCCCCGAGGGTGGTGCGGTAGCGAAAGCACTTTGCGGGCGCGATGCAGCGTGTCGAGATGAGGCGCACGAGGTGGTTGAAGTGCGGGTCGGCCGGCTTCGTGCAGGCGGAGAGGGAGGCGGCCAGCTCGTGCGCTCCTGCCCACGGCCGGAAGCTGTGAAGAGACGCTGTTCACACCGAGGGAGAGGGAGGCGGCCAGCTCGCGCGCGCCGCTCGCCCGGAAGGGCATCCCTTGCTGCTCGAGCGCGCGGGCGAGGGCGCGAAACTTTGACTCCTCCGGCTGCGGGTGGAGGCGGAGCAGCGCCGCCTCCGGCCACGCCTCGGCGACGCGCCTCGCGACGGCGCAGTTGGCGAGGACCTGCAGGCAGGCTCCGATCAGGGTGAGGAGGAGGGCGGGTGCCGGTGCCACCGCCGGGTGTCCGCAGCTGCAGAGGACCATGAACTCCTCAATGAGCGAGTGCGCCGCCTGCAGGAAGGTTCCGAGAAGCTTCCGAGAAGTCGACGGCCCCCTCGAGGCGCGAGGAGTGCGCCGCCTGCTGCTTGCGCAGCGCCATGCCGGTGGGAAGGCTCATCGGACCCGACGCGTCGCCCTCCTCGATCGGCGCGAGCTCAAACTTCACCTGAACAGTCACCGGCTGCTGCCGTCATCAACGGGCCATCTCTCCCCATACCCCCCCCGCAATCTCCCCGTAATCTGCCGTCATCAACGGACCATCTCTCCCCATACCCCCCCGCAATCTCCCCGTAATCTGCCGTCATCAACGGACCGCCCTTGATCGGCGCGAGCTCGAGCGGGGCGTCGGACGAGGCGGGGAAGTGTCTTGGAAGTGTCTAGAGAGTGTCTTGGAAGCGTCCAGGAAGTGTCTAGGGAGTGTCTAGGAAGGGTCTAGGAAGTGTCCAGGAAGTGACTAGGAGGTGTCTAGGGAGTGTCTAGGGAGTGTCTAGGGAGTGTCTAGGGAGTGGCCTCGGACGAGGCGAGGAAGAGCGCGCCGTTGGCCGCCCTCCTGTTCACAGCCAGAAGGTGTGAAGAAGCGCTGTCACACGCCGAGGAAGAGAGCTGGCCGCCCTCCTCCCTTTGAGCAGGACCGCCAGGCGGCCGAGCGTCTGCAGCGCGGCCGTGCGCGGCTCGGGGCAGCCCTCCCTCTCTAGCCGCTCCTGCGCGTCGGCGTAGGAGAGGGCTCCGGCGGAGCGGATCACGCTCTTCGCAAAGGTCGTGGAGAGGAGGTTTGCTCGCTCGTCCATGGTGAAGAGGGCCGAGAAGGCGAGCCGGTCGACGTGCGGGTGCAGCGAGCACAGGTCCTCCGACAGGCGCGGCGGGATCATGTTTGCCCGCGTGTTGACGAGGTAGAAGGTCTCGCCGCGCGAGGCTGCCTAATTACTAGTTGACTAATCGTCGATTAATAGTCACTTCATAGTTAATTAGGCGTCTCGCCGCGCGAGGCTGCCTCGCGGTCGAGCGCGCTGCCCGGCCGTATGAAGTGGCTCGCATCCGCAATGTGCACGCCAACCTCGAAGACGCCCGGCGAGAGAGTGCGCAAGTGAAGGGCGTCGTCGATGTCCACGCACCCGGGCGGGTCGATCGAGAAGATGTCGACGCCCGCGGCGTCGCGCAGGTCGAGGCGGCGCGCAATCTCGCGGGCGGAGATGCTCCAGTCGGCGGGCGGAAGGCACGCCTCCACCTCGTCCGAGAAGGGCTCGAGCCGCACGTCGCTCTCCACGAGCAGCGCCTCCGACTCCGCCGCCGCCGTCCCAGCCTCGCCCAGGACCCGCACCACCGTCGCCGACGGGTGCGTCTGCTCCACCTCCCAGCTGCCCACCTTCGCGGCGACCAGCTGGCCCGACCGGTGTCCACTTGACTGGTGTCCACTTGACTGGTGTCCACTTGACTGGTGTCCACTTGACTGGTGTCCACTGGCGAGCTGTCCGGGCGAGCAGCTTGCCGACAGCTCAAACGGCGGGTAGCGGCCATCCCTTGGGAGGGCGAGTGGCGGAGAGGAAGACCAGCGGCCGCCCACCGGCTCCTCCTTGCCCGTGTGCAGGACGAGCAGCCGCTCCACCCGCCGCAGCAGCCCAACCACCTCGCTGCCCTCGCCCTCGCCCTCGCCCCTCCGCGTCGCTTCACCCTTGCCAACCTCGCCCGCCTCGGCCGCCTCGGCCGCCCCCCCCTTCCGCACCGCAACCTCATCGCCGTGCAGCGCCCGGTTGAGTGCCCTTCGGCCAAAGAGCGACACCGCCGGGGCCTGCCCGACGCCGCCCGCCACGAACGCATTCTGAGGGTTGCTGTATGTCACTTGCAGACGCCCCTTTGCCAGCTCGCCGCTCTCGAGGCCCTCCGCCAGCCCTGCCTCGGACAGGTAGGGCGCGTACGTCGGCCCGCCCAGCTCCGCCGAGCGGGCGTATAGCGGCCTCCGGGCGGACGCGATGCAGCCGGCGGGAGAGAGCGGCGTGACGACAAACGGGCTCTGCGCGCAGAGGGAGACCCACCCCACACCCGCCCACTCCACGTCCAGCGCGTGCCCGCCCATGAAGGAGTAGAGCCTGCTCGGGGCTGGAGGGCACACGGCAAGGTCAGCAGCGGCGAGGTCAGCAGCGGCGACGCCAGCAGCGCCGCGCCACACGTCAGCGGCGTCGGTGGCGGCGTCGGCTCTTTCTCCGGCGGCTGGAGAGAGGACCATCCGCACTCCTCCGCCTCCAAACCACCTCGCCAGCAGACCCGCGCTGAGTTCCGCCAACTCCTGCTCCTCCTCGCCGCCACCGCCGCCCGCAAACACGACCTCGGCCCTCCCCAACACCTCTCCCCCGCCGCCACGGCCGCCGTCGCCCACCAGCTCGAGGACAGCCTTGCGGCCGACGCCGACCGGCACCCGCCGCCACGAGCCAGCCTCGACTGCTTCCGGGCGGGCGCTCAAGCGTGCAACCAGCGGAGCCAACGGCTGAGGCAGCAACACCGTGTCGCCCTCCGCCACTGCCGGCACCTTGACCTTCGAGCGCCCTCTCCCGCCCCCTCCTCTCCCGCCGCCGCCCCTACCGCCCCTCTCCGCCGCCGCCAGCCGCGGCAGCTGCTCGGCAAGAGCGCGAGCGAGGCCATACCTGCCATGATGAGCTCAACTAAACACAAGTGTGGTCGTGGCGCGTGGGCTGCAGTGCAGTGCAGTGCGGTGCAGTGCAGTGTAGGTTAGTGCGGTGTAGTGATGTGTAGAGTAGTGCAGTGTAGGGCAGTGATGTGTGGTTGTGCGGTTCGGTCTGTGCTGCCGTGCGCAGGTGTGCCATCGCGGGCGAGGCCCAGCCTGCCAGAGCGATCCGTCCCAACAACGACAACCTCGCTGTGCCCGCCCCGGGACGCCTGCGCCAGCACCTCCGCTGCGAGCGGCCGAGTGCTGCTCTCCTACAGGGAAGCTTCTGAGAAGGGTCCGAGAAGTGTCCGGCGCCTCTGTTGCGTGGCCGGTGAGCGCTGCTCTCCGCCGCCGTCGCAGAGACCCCAAAGGCGGAGGCGCACGATACGCCGGGTCGCCGCCGTTCGAACCGCCGCCGGAGCGACTCGAGCTCGCCCGGCGAGAGCTGCGGCAGCAGGTCAGCCTTGCACACGGCGAGAAGAACCGTCTCGGCGCCCGCCACCGCACGGGCAACCGCGGCGCACGAGGCGTCAAAGTTGGGGGGCGGATCGATCGCCGCGACGCAGAGCTTCCCAGTGACCCGACCGCGCGGCTGCAACGCATTAGCAGCTGGCGCGCCGGCGGCGACGCTCGACGGACCACTGGCTTGCGTGACTGGTGCCGGCGTTGGCGGCGAGAAGAGCGATTTCAGCCACTGCCAAGTTGACGACGTCGACAAGGCTGCGGCGGAGCCGGTGAGCGGACCACCACGACGTTGTTGCGCGACGGCGAGCCGGGACAGCGGCGACCGCTTGCTAGACTGCGCTAGCATCGTTTTGGGCGAGAAAGAAGAAAAACGCTTTTGCTGACTGCAAGCTCCAAGTGCGGACGGAAGCGCGTCGAGCGCAAAACTTCACACAAGATGGATAGTGCGAGTCGCAAAGTGCGTCTTTCTGGTTCCTGCTGATACATCTCGGAACACAACGCACAGCCAGAGCTCATGGCGTGAGAAAGAGGAGAGCGGCCGCACACACGCAATTACACAGGCGCACACGAGTAAGGAACAAGTGGTGGGTCCCCGATCCGCCACCCGCCACCCCCCCGCAAAGGGCGGCTCCGCTCGCGCACAGAGAGAGAAGAGAGGCACGGGCCGGGGCGGGAGTCGCAGAGTCCGGACGGCAGGAGGGCGCGCGGGTGAACCGCCCGCTCTCGCAAGGGGTCGAGCAGGGGAGGGCGGGGGCGGGGAGGGGGGGGGAGCTTCCCCCGCGGCCGACCTACGCGGGCGTGGGTGCCGCAACGCATGGGACGTGAGGCCGCCGCCGCGGCGAGGAAGAAGCGGCCTCGACGGCGGCGGAGGCGGTAGTGGAGGAGGCCGAGGAGGAGGAAGGGAGGAGGGAGGAGGAGGGAGGAGGCGGGAGGAGGCGGAGGGGGGAGGGGGGAGGGAGAGGGGGGGGGGGGGGAGGGCGGTTCAGCGCCCGCGGAACGCCTCGCGGTTGCTGCGCATGGCGCGACCCCGCACAGAGCCGGGCACGGGCTGGCCGAAAGGCGGCCCGTAAAGCTCCCCTCCTCCCGCCTCGTCCCTCGTCCTCCCTCGTCCCTTCCTCCTCCTCGGGCTCCTCCACTACGGGCTCCGGGGGCGTTGGGGGCGCTTCTTCCTTGCGGGGGGGGGGGTTTCTTGTTCCC